CCCCCCTACTCAAGAGGGCAATAAAGTTACATTCAAATATCTGTGCCATTAATCCAGATGTGTTATTGTTCAGGTATCTTGCATTGCTCTGCCATAAGTTGTTGGCCCAAAAGAGAAAACGGACCAATTACTATAATTACAGGATTCTGACTTGGATAAAGGACTCACATGTCCACATAGAACTTGAAATTACAACTTGTAGACTGGGAATGTTCAGACTGTACATCCCGTAATTACAGTAATTCCAACATGACGTGAATGCACCATAACCATAGAAGACCATTGACTCCTACTTGCGGCAATGAATCCAGCATTGTGTGATTGTCGAGCACGCATTGGTGCGATTGCCTGCATTCATGTACCTACATAGAGTAAGTTTCGGCCTTAAAGTCACAATTGTTCGTACAATTGAGTAACCTGAATCAGACCACAACTTTAAAGAGAGCTCCTGGGCTTTGAATACTTTAGATGAACACCTGAATCCCCTTTTAACTGACATGAAAGGGTAACCTATCCAACAAAGCCTTCTCAAAATTAACAATGATCTGACTTGCCGTTCCATCACTTTCAAATCAAGAAGTGCTTTTATGTGTCTCCGGGTCTTTGGCTTGGTCACATCAGGAGGACCCTGGCCGCTTTGTAGTGCAACCTTTAGCACCCTGCAAACCACTAGGTCCTTTGTAGCTGGGCAGAGGTGCTCTTTGACGGAAAGTTGAAAGCGTTCAACATGAAGAGGGGGATCTCCAAGTTCCTGCTCTTTGAACTGAGCCGATGAAGCTTTCCTTGGATATGTCAGTCCAAACCAGGGACGGGTATTTGAGGAAGAAGCATACAGTTTCACATTAAACAGAAGCGGGGGTTCTTCACCATTTTACCTGTGGACTGCTTGATGTTTTTTGGCACTTGGTGTCTTGTTATTGAGTTTGTACACTTGTTAGCATTGTGGATGTGTAACTGAAATAATCAGGAATGACTATCCTGCATGATCCAGAGAGAACTTGACCATGTAAAGCCATGTTACCAATTTAAAGAAGCCAAAGAAACCATTAAATCCAATCTGCACATGTCGCCTGGGAGTATCACAGAATGTCTTCGTTGTTGCCTCATATTAAACCTGTGGCATTTTTAAAAAGCAGTTTGACCCAGGCTTGACCTCTCTGCTAATCATAGAGTGCTTGTCTGTCGCTCAGAGCATCCATTTTGAGCTCCGCGCTCTTGATATCGCCAGAGCTGCAATCACAAGGTTCACTGGGGCAATTAAGGAATCAGTAGCAGGAATGAAATTTCATCTTATCTATCCAAATGTCAGCATCTAATTTAGTTTCCATCATGCAACTGCCAATCACTGAGAAGGGAGATTGGTTGTCTCTTTTCCGTGTCAAGTCATGTAAACCTTCTGCTTTTTATTCTCTGCTTGAAATTGACTTTTTAACGTAGACAATAGGTAAGTCCTTCAACCATTTCCCTGTTATCTCTTCTCGTCGTAGGGAGGTGGTACATTCGGGAAGGCTGGCTGAAGACAGTGCCCCCTAAAGGCACGGAGGCAAAACCCAAGATGTTTTACCTGTTCTCTGACATCCTGCTCCAGGCCAAACCATGCAGTCCCATACATCCTATCAATGGGGATAAGTTTGCCTGCCAGCGAATCTACCCATTAAAGGAGTGCACAGTGGACAAAGTCTTCGGCCACACCAAAAGCCAGGGAGGCCTTATTAGTGTAAGTTAAAACAATTGGATGCAGTTTGCTATGTTTATAAGTCAGATGGATTTATTCTATTAAAATCTGAATCTTGTTCATAATTCAGTTCACATATTTTGGTATGATTTATGTTTATTTTCAAGGATGTTCATAAAGGTGAATTGTGGTATTCCTGAACCACTAACTGTACTAAAAGTAATCTAAAAAATAAACGTTGACTACTGGACAAACAGGACAAACCTACACTACTGAGTCGATGGCGTGTTGATGTAATGGTGTGAAATTAATCTTATGACAGTGTTCACACTTTTCTTGGAAATCAGCTTACTATTGGCATACTTGTGATTGTCTCTGCATTTTGACGCATAGGAAAAGGGGGGAAAAAAGCATTTTAGTAAAAATACTCAAATTTTATCTCCTGCTTCATTAAATGCGTCCACGCCAGATGTAAACTGGGGATTTGGGTGAACTGAAAATGATTGAATGCACAATACATTGGATCTTAGTGGAATAATTATAATTGATTTTTAGATATGTAATCAATGCATTACATTTTCATTGGTGGATCAATGTATTCTCACGAGCCCAATGTTTTTCCTTTGGGCAAAATGTCGGTCTGTGGAGTAACACGTTTATCCATTAAAATTCCTCATAGGCACTCTTCAAATCCATCAAATATATTTGAACCGTATGTTCCCTCCCCACACTTATTGTTCTCAGAATGCCTTGATCTGCAAGTTACCAAAAATTATCAATTTATCATTGTCCTCCTTGCACTAATTACTCGAGTTTCCTCATAAGGCTTCAAGTTTTAATGTCTCCACATGGCTTGATCTCTTTCCAGGTCTCTGTGCTGCTGCTGTGTGACAAATTATGTCTAAACGATCTCCGCACTCATGGAACATTCAGACGAATGTATCGTACACCGCAAAGGCGTTTATTTGATACGATTTGGTTTAAGTGCCTAATCTGATCAGTATACAGAGATAGGTTTTCCTTGAACCTTTTGTTCTCTTATTTTGGTTATAAAATATCATGAATCTGAGAACTAACAAACTAATATACAATTATTTATGATGTTCTCATTAACTACATAAATGCAACACAAATGTGTAGTGTACAGTATAATACTTGAGAATTGTTGGGCAATTTGGCCCTTTGATGTTTAGCGTCGTTTCATGACGTTTAAGGCCGATTACACTAGTGCTCCCAGAAACTACTACACTATCATGTCGCGGGTTATGCTTTTTTGGCATGTGGAATAGACCTAAAAAAGCCACCCGCTCTAAAGAACTGTGGGAAGGTGCTTGCTTCACTCCATCACGGATCCATCTCTTCCGCTCGGCCGCTGAATGCATCTTCCCGAAACCCTGTCAGCGCTCCACACTCCTCTCCTCTCCTCCGCCTGGGCCGCGGCCGTGGCTGCTTATTATCTAATGGCTAGAAATGGCATTTCATTAGCCTGTTATCCCACAGAGGCCTCAAATGCATACTCAATAGCATTAGGTGTAATTTCTCATAAGGACACATTATTGATCCCGGTTCCACCCGCCTCCCACCTGGACCGAAGGGGAAAGAGGCTGTCAGCACTCTCTGGCCCCTCCCCAGCCAGGCTGTGAAGAATTAAAGCAAAATTAAATTTGACAGCAGGAAATGCCATTGCAATCTATATGCAAAGTTTGAAAGTAGTAGTAGAAGAGGAAAATGCGCTATGAAAATTTTGGTTCCCTCTCCTCTATCCATTTGTCTAGATGAGAGAATGTTTGTATATGGATAATTTCTTCCCTCCTTTTCTTTTTCTCTCGCATTTCCCATCTTTGCATCCCCCTCCCTTTTCGTCTCTCCATCTTCCTCTCGCGGCTCTCCGTCTTTCTTCCTCCACCTCCTTGAATATTATTCTGCATCCATGACTGATTCCCTTTGATGTATAAATAATCAAGTGAAATTATGTGCATCGAAGAGGCTCCGTGCTCTGCCGTTCGTATTATACAAAGTAATTTCTACCTAAGAGGGTCAGATTTCCTGACAAATCCCTAATTACCGCATCGCAATAGAAGTGGAATCTATTTGTGCATAAATCAGGCCACCCGTCTCCCCATGCGGCGGACCACTAATATTGTGCTCCGCTTTGCCTCGCTCACTGAACTCGGTAATTAGATAATACTTTTGATGATGGTACATTTGAAATCTTAATCTATTTAATACCTAATGAGAAACAAGCGCGCCAGCCCCCCCGCCTCCTTAAAATATAACCGGAGTGTCATTACTTTTTACCAGGTGTCCATTAAAGACCTGGCTCCGCTCATCATTACAATTCCGTCTCCAGTCGTAATAAAGATTAGGCCTGATTATTGATATGCTGTCGGTAACTGCTGCCGTTTCCTCCACTCCGGCAGCCTCAGGTAAATGTGAAAGGTCATTTAATATTTTCAAGGCCCCAATTATAATCCACTAATGGGTCCCCGTTGTAATTATTCTGAAGATAAAGCCTCTGCCTTTGTTTGGGGTTGGATGGTTCCCGTTGTCTTGTTTGACATGTGTAATCTAGCAGTAAAGTCTCCTCAGTGCGGATGAGTGATGGTAATTGCTGTTGACTCAAGGATGAGCCATCTGACAGGAGGCGGAGAATGTGGGCCGAGCTCAGAAAACTTGTCCTCGAAGTGCAGATCATTGCCAAATTAGCAGCTGAGAGCATCAACTGGCACATCTGTGCGCCTTTGGGCTCGAGTGGAGAACGTGTTACTTCCTCTGCAACTCCTTCACAGTTCTCGTTTTCGTGCAAGATGACCTATTTTGCATCAGATTGATAATCAAATCATTAAACACTTCACGTTATCTGCTAATGCTATTGACCGTGTTCTTTAATGTTTTGTGAGGTGGATTAGTGTTGTCTCACCTTCAGTGTTGAGCGCTAAAATTCATCTTAAGGCCAGTTAAGTCTTTAAAAAAAATGCCTAATTGTGGCTGTTCTTCCCTTACGTCTGTAGGCTATATGCCTGAAGAACTGTGAAGTCAGTACTGTGAATCGTAAGATACATAAATGTTTGAGACCTTGGTTCATGTAAACACTGGAGGCAGTGCTAACAAACTAGTTCATGGACGCCCTCTAGTGATCCATTGGAATTATGTGCACAACAACATATATGTTGGTTTCATATGCCTTTGAAAGACCATTTTTAAAATTTTTGAGAGAAGTTTTAGTATAAAGTAATTTTTCATTACACCTTAAATATATCTGAGTGTACATGTTTTAATCATTAAAAAAAAAGTCTGTTAAAAAATTGTGCCCCCCAGAAAACGTGAGTTTATCAAGAAATTATTTTTTTTGCATGGTCATCATAGAAGAGGTTTATTGCATTTTTAATGCATTTCTGAATGAATGAATGAATATACGATACAAGCTTCTTTCATTGAGCCTTATGCCTAAGAGACAAATTTTTGATCAGTCGAAAAAAGATACCACCAAAATCACTGCTTTTCAGTGTCCTTCACCAGTTTCTGTCACACATAAACTCTGTCTATTCCTCCAACTGAATATTTTGTCTCTTCTAGTTGACCTTCGCCAGGGCCAAACTACTTCTAATGTCCGATGATCAGGTGGACATTAATGATTGGTTCCGTAGCCTCTGCCTGGCTATTGGGTGAGTATATCTGTCCACACAGGGATACTCAAAATTCAGCCCCTAAAAAAAAAAAAAACGTTTTAGGTTACCAGCCCTAACATGTCAATCCAGTCAGGTTGTGAAGTTAAAACATCAACACAGCTCATAACCATCAGCCTTTTACGCTGCAGTCAGTGTTAGCATAACATCAGTGCCCTTTACTCTCTCACAGGACCTGAGGGCAGGGCGATGGTTGACATGGGGCGAGCTCGTCACAGGGGACAGTCCCAACTCTCAAGGCTAGGCTAATTAGTTTAGCACTGTTTGAGTGATTGGGAGGGACAAACTGTCACCTCGTGCCATCTTCATAGTGGGGAGCTCCTCACATGTGGCCTTCTGCCCAACCTACAGGCCCAGGGGAGCACAATTAGAGACCGAGCTGGACCGGTTGTGGTAGCTGAGGTCAGAGGTGATTACTACTGTATGAGGGGGTATGCTATGTGTGTGTGCCGCATTTACTACACAGAGCCGCAGTTCACTGACAAGCTAGGCAATATCGCGTTCATAATCGCAGATGAATCGCATTCGATTATGAACGCGATATTGCCTAGCTTGTCAGTGAACTGCGGCTCTGTGTATCAACTGGCACATCTGTGCGCCTTTGGGCTCGAGTGGAGAACGTGTTACTTCCTCTGCAACTCCTTCACAGTTCTCGTTTTCGTGCAAGATGACCTATTTTGCATCAGATTGATAATCAAATCATTAAACACTTCACGTTATCTGCTAATGCTATTGACCGTGTTCTTTAATGTTTTGTGAGGTGGATTAGTGTTGTCTCACCTTCAGTGTTGAGCGCTAAAATTCATCTTAAGGCCAGTTAAGTCTTTAAAAAAAATGCCTAATTGTGGCTGTTCGTCCCTTACGTCTGTAGGCTATATGCCTGAAGAACTGTGAAGTCAGTACTGTGAATCGTAAGATACATAAATGTTTGAGACCTTGGTTCATGTAAACACTGGAGGCAGTGCTAACAAACTAGTTAATGGACGCCCTCTAGTGATCCATTGGAATTATGTGCACAACAACATATATGTTGGTTTCATATGCCTTTGAAAGACCATTTTTAAAATTTTTGAGAGAAGTTTTAGTATAAAGTAATTTTTCATTACACCTTAAATATATCTGAGTGTACATGTTTTAATCATTAAAAAAAAAGTCTGTTAAAAAATTGTGCCCCCCAGAAAACGTGAGTTTATCAAGAAATTATTTTTTTTGCATGGTCATCATAGAAGAGGTTTATTGCATTTTTAATGCATTTCTGAATGAATGAATGAATATACGATACAAGCTTCTTTCATTGAGCCTTATGCCTAAGAGACAAATTTTTGATCAGTCGAAAAAAGATACCACCAAAATCACTGCTTTTCAGTGTCCTTCACCAGTTTCTGTCACACATAAACTCTGTCTATTCCTCCAACTGAATATTTTGTCTCTTCTAGTTGACCTTCGCCAGGGCCAAACTACTTCTAATGTCCGATGATCAGGTGGACATTAATGATTGGTTCCGTAGCCTCTGCCTGGCTATTGGGTGAGTATATCTGTCCACACAGGGATACTCAAAATTCAGCCCCTAAAAAAAAAAAAAACGTTTTAGGTTACCAGCCCTAACATGTCAATCCAGTCAGGTTGTGAAGTTAAAACATCAACACAGCTCATAACCATCAGCCTTTTACGCTGCAGTCAGTGTTAGCATAACATCAGTGCCCTTTACTCTCTCACAGGACCTGAGGGCAGGGCGATGGTTGACATGGGGCGAGCTCGTCACAGGGGACAGTCCCAACTCTCAAGGCTAGGCTAATTAGTTTAGCACTGTTTGAGTGATTGGGAGGGACAAACTGTCACCTCGTGCCATCTTCATAGTGGGGAGCTCCTCACATGTGGCCTTCTGCCCAACCTACAGGCCCAGGGGAGCACAATTAGAGACCGAGCTGGACCGGTTGTGGTAGCTGAGGTCAGAGGTGATTACTACTGTATGAGGGGGTATGCTATGTGTGTGTGCCGCATTTACTACACAGAGCCGCAGTTCACTGACAAGCTAGGCAATATCGCGTTCATAATCGCAGATGACGGACCATGGTCGGTTGTTGTTTCACGGTTTGTTAAAATGAATGTTCAAATTCTTAGTAACTAATGTTATTAATTAGATTATGTATAGGGTGTTCTTAAGTCTGAGACCATTCATTTTATAATTTAGTAATATTTATGTATTTTTCTAATTTATTCATATGTAATTTAATATTTATTTATATATGTTTGAAATCCTAAAACATTTTATTTTTATGAAAGTCAATGGCTACCGTTAACTGGTTTAATACCAGCATTCTTCCAAATATTTATTTTATTTTAATTAAAAAAAAAATTTTGTGCTCAACAAAAGAAAAAAACGCATACAGGTTTAAAACAACTTGAAGCCGAGTAAATGATGATAGAATTTTCAAGAATTTAAATATGAAAAAAAAAGATTTTTTTGGGATTAGAAAAATAATTTTTGTTAAATAAGAAATATATAAGCAAAATTTTGAAATTGTATAGTGTAAATAAAATAAATTCATTACAAAAAGTATTTTTCATTGTTAATCTGATTTATAACAATTTAATTAATTGATTTAATTAACAATTGATATGTATATTCATTTATACTGTATATGTTTTGACATTACATGCACATAAACATTTGTGGTTTCTCTAATGCAGATGTTGGATGAAGAGGTTTGGGAACACAGTGAGGGTCATAGCAGCAGTTCCATCCCTTTAACAGGGGAGAGCAGCCACAGCACCACCAAGAGGCTGAAGCCCAATGAAGCTCCTGCTGCAAGGTAGTTTTACTGCATCATTTCATGCTATCAGACTCTGATATAACAATACTGTACCATCTCTATTATCTTAACCAGTACATTATTTGCCCAGTACTTGTAATACAGAGCTTCTGTGACGATTTTTTTGATGGTCTGAAGAAAGGTCTTTTTATGTTGTGTATATATAAAACATGTACCTGCAATGGAAATTTGAAAAGCATAATACTGCACACATTGTTAATGCAGACCACAGGAGTCTTCTGGATCAAGCTGCGTCATACTGTGAAGAGCTGAAAGATCTGCCCACTGACGGAAGGAGCAGAGGTGATTTAGGATGAATGCAATGTACATCAACTATATACTGCTGCATTTTTTACCATATGCCGAAGAATATGGTGCAATGCAGGCTTATTGCTTTTAAGCATGTTTAATGTTCACATTTTAAAGATTTTTATACTGAGATGTCTTACTATTTAAAGTTTAATTCAATGGCGAATTACTTGGTTATCACTGGTAATGGCCAAAAACTAACAAAAAATACACAGACATAAAAGCATCATGTATAATAACCGAATATTTATTCAGTCACAGACTCTGAATATATATCACTATAGTGCAGAACCAAAAATTACCATTTATCACATTTTTAATATGAAAAAATTAGGTGCAATAAGATTTTTTGGTTTGCATGAGATTTTGCTCTGTTATACACTGGAACAAAAGGGAAAACCTGCTTTTATATATATTGCATGCTGTTTTAATTAAACTCTCAATACTTAATGCAAATATTTCTATTTTTTTGTCTGCTTGTGTTGATTAAACTTTTACTGTTAGATCCATTTAGGGGTGTAATTGTTACTAACTCTGGTTAATATTATATTTTGCATGTAAATTAGTAAAAGCTCAGTGATTTACTCTAAACAAGCTCTATTAAGCCTATAACTTCAACAATTTTAACTGTTCATGCTCTGGTCAACACTGACCTCTTCTGGAATATTGCTGATCGCTCAAGTCCCGCATGCATTTAGTCCAATGCTAGACTTGGTTTGTAAATGAGGAATTTAAGTCTGTTAGAGGGAATAGGTTGTAACATCAGTAGTAGTAGGTTATAATCGGAAGACAGGTATATTTAAGTATTTCTTAGGGTTATATTTGTTAATTAATGTTTATAGTTATTATCTTGTTTCCCACGGTCAACTCCTGGAAATATATGGGAGCATGAAAACTGATTTCCAGGTCATGTTAAAGTCAGACATTTCTGTAGTAAAGTTATTATACATGTATGAAATTTGAAAGATCCGTTGACCACATGGTGGCCGCACACTGCTTTTTTGTAATTTATTAAAGTAGGCCACCGAATGCAGGTGGTGATGAGAGCATTGACCCTGACTATGTTTAGACTCCTGTGATATTATATTGAATAAGAAATTCATGTTGTTTTCACCTTCATTTTGGCCTTTATCATCACTGCACGCTAAACAGGCTGTGAGGTAGAGTCCATTTAGGGAACCAAGTTTTCGAAACTGGTGTTTGGCTCACTCAGTTGCGGCTGATGCAACAACATCTAATTTCTGAAACTGCCAGCAATTACCCGGTTGAATACTTGGCTCAATTTTTGCAATTTGCAGCACCTCATCTTTTCATGTTTGCTCGATGCTGATGCCAGATTCTCTGCTGATTGTTCTCACTCCTGCCTTACATTCTGTTGGCAGGTGGTTGAGGACTCAGAATACCATTCATGGTCAGTGTGTCTCGGTGTGTTTTTGATGGATTGTAGCAGGGTTACAGACTGAGACCACAGTGAAAATCTGGGGTTCCTAATCTAATTTAAATCTGAAAATAATCTTAAAATTAAAAAAATATATAAATAAATGTTAAATAAATCTGAAATATTTAATGAAAAATGTAAATAGAGATATTCAAAAATGCAGAATTCAAAAAACTCGTATATAATCAAATGTGTGAAATACTCTAAAATGCATGCGCATTGATATGCTCATCATATAATTAAACATTTGTATTAAATTTGAAAATTATATATATATAATTTGTAATTAATATCATTATGGTTATTTTTCACTAGTGGTCACTGCAGACTCCCCTGACTATGTCATGCAAGGACATTAACCTTTTCCTCCTAATCAATCAAATACATAACATTTCCGTGTTCTCTGGCTTACCTTTTATCTATTGGGCAGTAAATCAGGTCTTATCTGAGTCTCTGGCATGCTTCTTCTGGAGGGCTGCCCTGTTTAATTGCTCCGTAGCTGGAGTTGAAAGGGGACGGGGGTGGCTGATGCTGAGGCCAATGAGGGCTTGCTGACCTCAGTGCTTTCATAGTTTGGTGACGCAATTTGAGATCTGTCTGGAAGTCATTTTGTAGAAGTCTTGTCTGATATTATGTTGTGAACCTGGTGACGTCATTATGATACACAATTCATTGGGGTTATTTTTGGAAGTAAGGAACAAGATCTGCCTCTGTCTTTTTTGTGCTTCTGCAATGAAAGCAGCAAAGTGTTCCACAGTTTGTGAGGTTTCTTGTAATAAAGACCTTTTTAGCTTGTAATGTTGCTCTGGTTCATGGATCTGCACTTATGAAGGAAATGTAATCATAAATGTTTAATATTCAAGCTCTCCAGACCTTCCTTCTAGTGTCTAAGAAATTGAGGAGGCAAAATATTTCAGTGGCTGTATAAGTGTGAATTATTCTCAGAAATATACTGTGGCTCCATGCACAAATAACACGTCATGATTCTCCAAAATAACAACAACATCAATGGTGTAGTCATGCACTGTACACATAACATAAACAGGACAAATAAATCACAGATATTGCCAAGATTAAAGTGGAAGTGCATGATTGTTTTGTGCTGTGCTTTTTTGATTAGATTTTTGTTGTTTTTCTTTTGTTTTTGTGTTTTTTGTTTGCTTTTGTATTAATAAAAATACCTTTTTTGCACATTCAGGTATTGCTGTGTATTTACATGCACTTCCACTTGAAATCTCAGCCTTTACTCTTGCCATTGGTGATTTATTTGTGCGGTTTATGCTGTTTGTTGTTGTTCGGTTGGAACTTGCATCTTACCTTAAATCAACACCAACTGAAAGAGTGGCTGAATGATGTGCCATTTCACTATAGTCTAACTCATTGTCAAACAGTCACCGGTGTCTTGTTTCTGTTTTGGAAATGGTGCATTAACACGCTAAAACCCAAGGCCCTGGCAGATTAGCATGTGCTGTTGACCCTGACAATCCCTCTGCTTTTGGAGCATTTCATGCGTGAGGACTGATGCATTAAACACTAGAGTGCTTACCATTCTTTTCTTGTGAAACGTGTCTGAGGAGCTCTGGTGATTTTAAGACTATTTAGTATCGTCATGGAGAGATGTTTGGCTTTTCAAACCGATCTTACATTACAGTTTTGGAGCTCACGTGAAGAAACGAGGGACAGACTGTCTGGCGCTATTTACTTGTTGAATAGAAGCAAAGTCATTGCTCTTGACTTGAAATTGCTTTTTAAATGTTCTCTCAGTCTTTGTCTGATTCATTTTACATTATAAGGTTTTTGTTTTGTGTTGCTTTTTCTTTTCTTTTTGTTTGTATGTCAAAGTATTCGTTTTTAGTTTTTGTCATTTTTGTTTTTTTGCATTGTTTTTTGTTTGTCACTCATGTTTTGTTTCAAGTTTTTCGTTTTGTTTTTGTTATTCTTTTGTAGTGCTTATTTTCGCTTTGCTTTACTTTGACATGCAAACAAAGTAAACTGTCTACATGGCAGGTGGAAAATAAAAATATTGTTTTGAGAAGTTTTATTTCTGTTACTGTGTTTTCACAGATCCAGATGTGTGATATTATCCCTGCTGGCGTTGCATACAATACATGCATCTCCCTGTAAACAAGATCATGTTCTATTCATTTCCACATTTTGTTAAAATAATAATAATAATAATAATAGCTTTGAAAACAGAAATTATTTGATTAATACTTGCTTTCGATTGGTCAATCAGGCCATCCAGAACTAACATTTTCTCCAGAATGTCAAAATCTAATTAAATTTCTATATTTACTGAATGCACATTGTGTGACGTGTGCAACAGTACAACATGAACTCTGTGATACCGATATCCCACAATGCATCACTGGAGCAGCAAAGAGTCAAAAGGTAGGTCAAGAGTAGCTTTTAGATCATTAAAGAAATGACCTTTTACTGTTAGATCCATTTAGGGGTGTAATTGTTACTAACTCTGGTTAATATTATATTTTGCATGTAAATTAGTAAAAGCTCAGTGATTTACTCTAAACAAGCTCTATTAAGCCTATAACTTCAACAATTTTAACTGTTCATGCTCTGGTCAACACTGACCTCTTCTGGAATATTGCTGATCGCTCAAGTCCCGCATGCATTTAGTCCAATGCTAGACTTGGTTTGTAAATGAGGAATTTAAGTCTGTTAGAGGGAATAGGTTGTAACATCAGTAGTAGTAGGTTATAATCGGAAGACAGGTATATTTAAGTATTTCTTAGGGTTATATTTGTTAATTAATGTTTATAGTTATTATCTTGTTTCCCACGGTCAACTCCTGGAAATATATGGGAGCATGAAAACTGATTTCCAGGTCATGTTAAAGTCAGACATTTCTGTAGTAAAGTTATTATACATGTATGAAATTTGAAAGATCCGTTGACCACATGGTGGCCGCACACTGCTTTTTTGTAATTTATTAAAGTAGGCCACCGAATGCAGGTGGTGATGAGAGCATTGACCCTGACTATGTTTAGACTCCTGTGATATTATATTGAATAAGAAATTCATGTTGTTTTCACCTTCATTTTGGCCTTTATCATCACTGCACGCTAAACAGGCTGTGAGGTAGAGTCCATTTAGGGAACCAAGTTTTCGAAACTGGTGTTTGGCTCACTCAGTTGCGGCTGATGCAACAACATCTAATTTCTGAAACTGCCAGCAATTACCCGGTTGAATACTTGGCTCAATTTTTGCAATTTGCAGCACCTCATCTTTTCATGTTTGCTCGATGCTGATGCCAGATTCTCTGCTGATTGTTCTCACTCCTGCCTTACATTCTGTTGGCAGGTGGTTGAGGACTCAGAATACCATTCATGGTCAGTGTGTCTCGGTGTGTTTTTGATGGATTGTAGCAGGGTTACAGACTGAGACCACAGTGAAAATCTGGGGTTCCTAATCTAATTTAAATCTGAAAATAATCTTAAAATTAAAAAAATATATAAATAAATGTTAAATAAATCTGAAATATTTAATGAAAAATGTAAATAGAGATATTCAAAAATGCAGAATTCAAAAAACTCGTATATAATCAAATGTGTGAAATACTCTAAAATGCATGCGCATTGATATGCTCATCATATAATTAAACATTTGTATTAAATTTGAAAATTATATATATATAATTTGTAATTAATATCATTATGGTTATTTTTCACTAGTGGTCACTGCAGACTCCCCTGACTATGTCATGCAAGGACATTAACCTTTTCCTCCTAATCAATCAAATACATAACATTTCCGTGTTCTCTGGCTTACCTTTTATCTATTGGGCAGTAAATCAGGTCTTATCTGAGTCTCTGGCATGCTTCTTCTGGAGGGCTGCCCTGTTTAATTGCTCCGTAGCTGGAGTTGAAAGGGGACGGGGGTGGCTGATGCTGAGGCCAATGAGGGCTTGCTGACCTCAGTGCTTTCATAGTTTGGTGACGCAATTTGAGATCTGTCTG